CACTACTCTGCCTAACTAAGAAAATCAACTTTTTTTTTTTTTTTTCTGGAAACAATAAAATCGAAATGCATGCAAAGATTTTTTATTTTAATGAGAAATGAAGAAACGAAATAGAGAAAACGACTGAGAATACCGCATTTAATGTAAGCAAGAAACTATAAATAATCGTGAGTTGTGAATCCCAATCTTCGATCGATTTCATTGTGGAGTGGATAATTCGATACATTTTTTATTTTAGTAGTGGGGTGGATCTGAATTTACTTGCAAATCTATCGATGTTGCGGTTATTTCACTTTAGTCTAATTGGATTAATTTGCAAATAACTTATTTGCAATTTAGTCTAATAGAGTTGAATTGAAATAAAGAGAGTTTTTTTACTTTTTTTTAAAAAAAATATAATATCTATATTATACACATCATTGTCGGCAATGTCCAGTTTGGCGCCCAACTCAACTCCGACCACATACACATCAACATTGGCAAGGCCACATAGTAACATTTTCCGGCACCGAAGAATAAAAATAAGGTCTTGCGTTAACATATTGTCCTAAATTGAAAAAATAAAAAATATAAAAATAAAAACGATAATTTGACATACATATTGGGTCAATTTTGTAATTTTCTCATAAACGTGTTTGCACTTTTATTTTTTTATTTTTAAATATATTGAAGGCATTTTTTCCATCCCCGGATTTTTATTTTGGAAGCCAAAATCTAATCTGAAACATGGGGTGTTATATATATCTCTGATATCAGCTTACGGCAGCCCTAGTCTCCTATTAGATTACATTTTCATCTTCGCTTTCATTTCGTCTTCTCTGGTATGTTTTTAGTCTCTCTAGATTCTATATAGCTTTATGTTGCTGAGATTTTTTGCGCCATAAGTTTGCAATATATATAAATCACGTGATCTTATGTCGCACAGCTAGTGCTTATGTGTATGTAGTTGGATGCCAATGTGACATCACCGGTGATGATACGTATAATATAAATATTAATTTTTTTAAAATATATATATATTTACATCAATCAATTTGGCAAAAGAAAAAATTCAATTCTTATTTGTTTCTATTGTATAATTTCAAATTAATTGATACAATTTATCGTTAAATTGAAAAAAACAAACGAGACGCACTCTTTTCTATTAAACAAATATTTCTCTATTAAACACATGTATCATAAACCAAAAAATTGCAAATTCAAGAAAATAAAAACTTTCAACTTGTTCTTTTTTGGAAATAAAAACACCACTCCGCCTAACTAATAAAATCAATTTTTTTTTTCTGAAAACAATAAAATCGAAATGAATGCAAAGATTTTTTATTTTAATGAAGAAACCAAAGAGAGAAAAGGATTGAGAATACCGGGTTTAATGTAAGTAGGAAATTATAAATAATCGTGAGTTGTAAATTCCAATCTTCGATCGATTTCATTGTGGAGTGGATAATTCGATACATATTTTATTTTAGGGGTGGGGATGAATCTGAATTTACTTGCAAATCTATCGATGTTGATTTCACTCTATTACAGTTTGAGTTAATTTGCAAAACATTTATTACCAATTTAGTATAATAGGGTTTAATTGAAATAAAGAGAATTTTTTTCTCTTTTTATTTTAAAAAAGATATATATATATATATAATATCTATATTATACACGTCATCGTGGTCATTGTCCAGTTTTGCACCCAGCTCAACTCCGACCACGTACACATCAACATTGGCAAGGCCACATAAGATCACGTGTTCTGCATGTAACATTTTCGAGGATAAAAATAAGACTTTACATTATATATTGTTCTAAATTGAGATACATATTGGGTCAAATTTGCAATTTTCTCAAATAGTTTTTTATGCTTTTCTCAAATATATTGAAGACATTTTTTCCATCCCCGGATTTTAATTTTGGAAGCCAAAACCTAATCTGAACATGGGGTGCTATATATACCTCTAATATTCGTTTACCGCTGCTTTAGTTGTTGGATTAAAAATCTAATTATGGGTTAAATGTAACTATTAGACTATCAGCCAGATTAAGCCTATATTAAGTGATCTATTAATTTATTGGACTTAAATGTATTTAGTAAGTGTGAGCCTCTTATGTGGAAAAATCTGGTAACATGGTTTATATATATATATACATATATATTCAATTAATGCTTAAATTTAATTCTGAACCATCTATGATTGCTCGGTTTGTGTGCAATTATATATATATATATATTGTATAAATTAAATAAGATATGTTTGGTCATGTCTATTTGGTTAAGAGCATAGTTTTGATCTTCATTGATTGATGTATAATTAAAAGTTCAATTAAATTTGTGAATCAGCATGTATTTTTTATGGCATGTTTGTTTAAATTCGGCTATAATAATTTAGTGTATTAATTTATAGTCTCTTTGGATGGCATATTTATTATTTATGAAATTCCTCTGTCTTTAGTCTTTCTTGGACTACTTGATTATTTTTATAAGTTCATAAAATTAATTGTTGCTATTATAGTTTTATATGTATTTGGACATACATGTGTGTGATTTATTTAAGGTGAATTTAATTAGCAATGAATAAATATAATATATTTTATGAGTTGTTGAAACAGTTATGTTGCCAAAGCAGCCTCTGCTGCGTAAATCAATTTATTTATATTACATATTAAAAGGTTGTGTATATGACTTATAAGGCCGTTGATTGACCCAAAGACAAGTTAACGATTAATTAGTTGCATACATATTTAATGACATTGAATGTGGTGATGATAGTTCGGTTATTTATGTGTGAATAATAGATCTGTCCAAAGATGAAGTGTTGTTTGACACACTACTTTATTGTCAACATTCGATTATCAAAACAAGTTTATCACTGGCGAGTAAGTAATTTTTTCAAAGATAATTATTGATGTTGCTCGATAACTTGTGATATGATTACTAATTTATTTTATAAATTCACATACAGAGCCTTCAATTGATTATAGACATGTGCATCCAGTTGCTTATACATATTATTTATTTTTATAGAATCATATTCGTATACATTGAACGTAATTCTGATTCTAATTTGTTTTTAAGGATATTAAAAATTCATTAATAATGCTTGTTTTGTTCTTACAGTTAAAATCAAGTATTTTGACGTTGCCAAAGTAAGCTCTCTTATATGAGATTTTTATTCGATAACGTAAGTGTTTGTGTGTATTTAACTCATGTAATTATTCTTCGGTCCAAAGACAGTTGGTAATTGACAGAATGAAATACACATCTGCGATATATATGGGATGATTATATGGCTTTACTTATGTGAATAGTGAATCAGTCCAAAGAGTGGTTTTCTGTTTGACATTACTTATTGTCCGGACATGATTATTGCAACAAGATGACTTCTAGCAATCAATATTATTGATCCAAATATTGATTATTGATGTTGCACTTAGTGTCTTGGGATGAGAATGCATTATTCTTGAACTTCATTGTAATTCATAAATATTTATATATATATATATATATATTTCGGTTCCAATATGGTACGGGAACAAATGTAAGCACTAAAAAAATCAATATTGATTCATTTAGGTTGCATGAATTTGACTTGGTATTAAGAGTAGACCAACCCACTCATACGGCGAAAAACACTGCAGATGAAAAGCAGTTATTTGAGAAGGGGATAGGTCCAACGCCTAAGTCTGATGATCATTAAAAAAAATACTCCATAAATTTTTCAGAGTACGATATCGGATGATATCACTACTGCCAAAAGATTCTTTATTGAAATTAAGAAACGCTTTACCAAAAGCGATAAGGTATAAATGAGTATTATTCTTAAGAGTCTCGTTACTATGAGGTATAACGACAAATGTAACATAAGGGAGTATATCCTGAACATGTCTAGTATTGCTACTAAATTGAGGGCACTTAAGTTAGACTTTTCGGATGACATGTTTAGTAGCTTCAAGAGCAAAACTAATAGGACTACCAGTCAACTAAAATAGTTTAACATGACTGATAGTCCTACTAAATTATATTTATTTCTTATTTACCCTTAAAACAATATATTTAATTCATACATATAATAAGTAAATTTTTATTGCAATATTTATTAATTATTTTAATACTCCCTCCGTCCCGGTCCAAATGAACCCTTTTGGATTTTGTAGTAGATTAAAAAATAATAGTATTTTATTAATTAATGGGAGTGTGTAAGAAATTTTAACATTTTTGCCCTTTAACTTTATGTAAAAAAATAATTGTATGTGTAATAGTACTTTTGTAATTTAGGTAAAAGTTAAGAGTATTTTGGTATTGATGTATGATTACTTTTACTAAAAATAAAAAATAGATACTTTTGAGTAAGACAGACGAAAAATGATAAAAATAGTATTTTGAATTAGAACGGAGGTAGTATATTGTATTTACTAAATTATAATTTTATTTTTGTAAATTTAAAATTATTACTATTATTAGTTATTACATATAAATTATTTTATTTGTAAAATATATATAAATTTATTAAAATTAAATCAAATAGAAAAGACAAATACTATTAATTTATTTATATATATTATTATTATATAACATTTACATTATAAATAAATAAAATAGAATAAATTAATAAACAATAATTAATATAATAAAAATATATACGAAAGATTTATTCTATTATCTCTTGTACAATTTCAATAAAAGTTTATTATTATTTTTTAATAAAAATATTTTTTTCAAATTTAAAAAATAAAAATAAATATTTTATAATTTGCAATAATTAATAAAAAAAGCCCATATCAATAATTATGATTATTCCTCTACACCCATCCCAACGAGCCGTCTCTTGAACCCGAAGTACATCACATCTCACACTATATACTAATATTTTATATATCATGTGTTACCTTTCATATACTTGTATGTGCTGATTGGAAAATTCAGTATGATTCGGATAAATCCTCAATCAATAGCCTAAACGCATCCTAACCAAAAGGATAGTAATGGTGACCAACCAGCACAGCACTGCTGATCATACTCTTAATAACTAATTAATGAATGCTAAAGCGAATTGTATGAAGTAAACCAATTCTTCATCTTATGAGTGGCTCTCTCCATTAAATGCAATTTGAACTTTTAAAGTAATAAGACTTCTTTAAACAGGGGAGGAAAGGGAAGAACAAGAAGAAGCATGGCTGAACCAACCAGAAGAGAGATAGATAGATACCTCACCCAACTCACCTCTGCCATGCTCTGCAACTCCTTCCTTTGATTTGATTTGATTAGATTATGCTACATCGGCACAACACGTCGATTGAAAACGGGATAGTAGGTGTCAAGCTCAAGCTGTTCCAAGATCTGTTGGGTTCTCCATAAGTAAGAAGAGTGACCATCGATGACCTCGGTTACGTCAACCTGTTTAGTTCATTCAACATACAACAATGGTGATATATGTGTATATATGTATGGGGGCCAAAGTAAAGTTGCATAAAATGTGGGCAGGCCAAACTTGAACTAATTCAAAAGAGATTTGGTTAGATATAGTCTTTCTGTATGTCTTACATTTTCAATGCCAGGCACATCAACCGGCTGAATCCCCGCCAATCCTGTGCTGAGAAGGCTGTTGAAATAAAATAATATAAATGCACAGGAGGGAGGGAGGGATGAGCATTGTTTGCAAGCAAATATTCCTAATTTACTTCTTTTTATATGTATTGAAGAGTTCATTGAGAGTTTGGGGTGGCATGGCATACCTGGCACGAAATGCAACTCCAAGCGTCCAATCATTTGTAGAATATGCATTCACGTATCTCCCAGATACCACCTATAGAGTATCCATAAAAGCTACTTCAAAGTTCAAACCATGTTTGAGATGCTAGAAGAGATGGGAATCTTAGGTAGTAAGAATGAAACTAAATGATGAGTGAAAAGGATGTATGCCAACCTTTCGAGTGGCTTCCCAATTAGTGTCACGAATTGGTATGGGAGCCCCAAGTAGAACAACTCTTTCCACAAGTCCAGCTGGGAATAAACCAAGGAGGGAGGATAAAAAGTATCACTTTTTGAAGATCGGATAAGGAAAATGAGAAGAACGTGTGCCAAACAGAATCAAGGGAAGAAAACCATAAGTCCAACATTATTTCAATAACCGGAAATATCATCTCATATCTATGGAAAACTGGAGTATGCAACTAGAAAAATTCTCATAGGCATATGATAATATATGATAGCAAGAGAGATTGATTCTCCATTAAATAATAATTACAAATCAAATCCAATTCAATGAACTGGATATTAGAAAGGAATTACATGACGGGGGAAAAGGTAGCGTTTACCATTAGATTCACTTTCAGCCAGAATCTGAAGGCATCTGAAAATCACTCTTGCACCAAGTGAAAAACCTACTAGTGTCACAGGTCTGGAACATTCATGCGCATGTATTGATAGAAGTTAAGAGCAAATCCAACCTTTTAGAAATGGATTCCATAGTGCGTAAAACAGTTCAATTTTATGTAAATAACACACCTGTGTCCTTGCAACCCCTTCAGTAATACTTCAGCAAGAAGTTTACCTGCCTTATCAGATCTATAGAAAATAGCAGCATATACGATTTCAGTAAAAAAAAAAATTGTGGAAGAGAAACACATTATCCGGAAATACACAAATATGGAATATGAAACCACCCAATGTGGCTTCACCATACAAGCATAAATATACACATTTGCAACCAGACAAAATGAGTTACACTGGCCATTATCTTAGATGAAAAGGTAAAACTGTTGCGAAAAATTATTTTCGTTCAATCAGTTTCAACATTGTAAATTTAAGGTTTGTTTAGTTTTTATTTGAATTTTGGTTTAAAGTGTACATTAATGCGATATTTTATAAGAGAAATATTTTATTTTTTATTGAAACCGTGCAAGCTGAATAGTATTTATTTGTGCTTGAAACACAAACCAAACACACCCTTATATTACTATAATATACTTAAGTACACCACCAGCATTTTCATTTGGACATGCATTTCATGGTTGGATAAAATTAAAATGAGGCAAGTTAATTCCTCCTCCCCATAATCCATGGTCAACATTCAGGTAAGAAGGGAAAACCTGTTCACAGCAATAGTCCATTTGGTGTCAATGAATTCAGTAAGAGCAAGTAATGTGGCAGGCCAAGCCAGAGCTGCCATGATAGTTTTTAGTACAGTCATCATGGCACCTTGTTTCATCATTTCCATGGCAATTCCTGCCAATATTAATAATCATGATATTGATGTCACAGAGGGACAGTCCAGGGAAGAAAGATATTAATGCACAATATTCAGCGCTTGAAATTACAAGGAACATAAGGAAAATTTTCTTTACTTGAAGTAAGCCAGTCTTGAATAGCAGTGCTTACAGCAATTAGATGCTTAGACTCCCACTGCAATGCATACCTACAGAGAGAAGACAAACAACAAAACATTTTCAATTTCATTAACATCACACATTAACAATATACTAGATTAGAGGAATATTTACAAACCTATCCCATTAGATGAGATCACAAATATCATAATTGTGGATCAAGTAATCAACAAATTAGTTGTACACAATAAAAGTGATTAAAATTTATCACAAGAATACAACCAACCAGAATGATACTCACTGTTTTTACATTCCAAGATAGAATCTAAATGAAAAAGGTTCAAATGCAATCTTAATAATAACATAATAGTTGAACAAGAAAGTATATACGACAACGAGGCGGTCTACCTTTCCATGTTATTATTATGCCCTTCCCAAGGTTTAATAAAGTCCTCTTCCTCAAAAACAAATCCAGAAATGGAAATTTCAACCCCCAGTCGCTGAAAAAAAAAAAGTTAATAATAATGATTAAAAGGTAAAACTGAAAGCATTCAATTCATGCGTTAGCTACAACAAGTAAAGAAGCATCCAACTAACTACCCAGTCTCATAAAACGGTAAGAGAAAGCATAAACAAATTATATTAAATCTACACCATTTGATATCTTGATATTCCAAATGTTAAAAAAAAAGAAAAAAGAAAACTAACTCCTTGGTTTTGGCTTTCTCCTATAGTTGTGAACTCAAACTCATCAACTTCTCCAATTCTCCTGGCCATTTTGCTCCCAGTGAGTCCAGCTCCTGCAGCTGGTTCAAATAAAAGTCCATGATATTAGATATATAAGCATGAAGTCCAGAAGAAGAAATATGTATAGATACACCCTGAAGTGATCCTACTCAAAAAGAAGTGCCACAGCTCATATGTCATGTACACTATTACATTGATTACCTACCACCAAAGGAAGCGGCAACTGCAACAGAACCTGCAACACTTCCAGCAGCTGTAGCAACAGCAGCAAACCCACTTGCTCCTATGACAGGGATAATAGTTCCTAGTGTAGGTGCTAAAGCACCAAATCCAGCAGCAATAGCCGGAGCAGCTAAACCTGTTCCAAGCATGACTGGTAAATAAATCCAAAACCAATATCGAATATTATGAATGGTAAGCAATTGGTAATCCTCCTGTTAGAAATCACAATGGCCCTCACAGCATTTCTCAGATACACAAAAAACCAAAACAAAAGGGAGAGAGAAAAGACGACAAACCTCCAGTAACTGCCAGCAGGGTCCCTCCCGTTACTGCAGCAGCACCTATGATAGCTCTACGTTTCCACTTGGCCCATGAACCTTTAGACGACTCAGCCTCTTCTTTGACCTCCTCCTCTTTTTGAAGAGCCATTGCTGAATATGCAACCATTGTCTCAATTGCTTCCTACAGAGGGAATGTTTCTTTTAATAAATAAATAAATAAAACAATAGCAATAATGCAAAGAAATCACAAAATATGAGTTCAAAAGCCTATGGCGGATGAATAACGCAAATACATATTAGCATCATCTAATGGTGGAATGAGGAGCTAAGACAATTACACAGGTATAATACATTACCTATACAGTATTCAAATCCTAGAATATAAAAAGGCATCAAACTTGGATTTTTCAACAGAAAGGTAATAAGACATCCGAAAACCTAAGGGTGTGTTTGTTTAGAAGATTTTGAAGGATTTAAACTATTCATTAAATTTTTTCCCTCCAAAAATATCGGATCAAATACCTATTTTTCATTTTTTATATTATACTAAAAATTAATTTTACATTCAAAACATCACATCAACACCTATTTATATCACATCATACTACTATTCAAATTCAAATTTTTTACTATTCAAATCCCAATTCAAAATCCAAACCACCAGACAAACACACTCTAAGAAGCAAGCTTCTGACTACAACTATGAGAGGTATGGGGAAATATGAAAAATATATTTTTAATTAAGGAAAAGTGCCACCACGCATCAGCAATTCTGCTTTGCCTTGGAAATATGGGAAAGATCAGCAAAATGAAGAAAAACAAACACCCCATACTAGCATCAACTATGATCTATCCTTTCCATGCAACAAATTCATTGTAATGAACATCAAGATTCATTAGTACACCACATAAGATATAGAAGCATCCTAAGGCTGCCTTAATTAATTCACTGGATGAGATCCTTATTCTCCAATTTAGGTTAGCCACATGTCAAGTCTATCAGTTTTTTGCCAGTTTCCAAACTACAGTAACCTCACATACACTACTTCATCCTGTTCCTTGAAAAGGTTCATGAATTCATACACAATGAATGCCCTATGACAGTTCATCTAGTTCTAGAGGCATGAAAAGCAACTTGGTATAAAAAGTGTATGTTCCATGATATTTTGTTAATCCCATTATACCATAACGTTATAAGAACTGAGAATTATAAAACTGTAAACATGTCAAATATCCTAAAGAACACTTACTGCTATCAAATCTCCAAAGTGAATATGAAAACACAGGCATTATACGGAAAAAAGGACTTCAACATGTTAGAAAGACAGGAAAATATACCATTTTTATCCACTTCACATCAAACCAGGTTGCTATTAACCTCAATGCCACGCGATGTCTGGCATCATAGCCCTTTCTTCTCCTGGGAGATCTCTCGTTACCATCACCATTATCAGTTAGACAAGCTAAAAGAAGGGCATAAAGAACAGTCACTTTCCTTGGATAACTAAGCATTTCTTCATCAGATACACAGATAGATTGTACAGGGGTTTCCTCAACAATAGAAGTAATAGCGTGCTCTTCATGAGGATTCTGATCGGAAATATTGTTATCTTCAGCTTTTGATTCCGCATTAGTATCAGGGGTCGAAAACTTCTCTCGACACGCATGCTCATAATCACGTTGCTTGTCCCTTTTGGACTCATAATCAGGAGTGGTCTCCATGCTCAATGACATAGCATCTACACCATTTGCTAAAGCACGTTCTGCATCAACAGCTTCTTCTGGTATGTCGCTGCTTTCTGCAGCAAGTAGCCTTAAAAACTGATGAAAGTAAGATGACGTCATTGTAAGCAATCACATGCATTCATGTTGCAATAGATCCTCACCAAGTAAAAAGTAGGATATAATATGTTAAGGTAAGAAATAATGCACCAACTATCCACTATATTACACAAATAGCATAAAACAAATTTCAAAAGCTCCAATCCAACACCCTTGTAAAAGAACCACAAAGGTGTAGAATGATGAGGCTTGGTTGTTTCAATAGCTTCCAAATCATCATGTATGCAGTACCCAGATTATACTGGATAAACATTACATCTCAAGAAAGCAAATCAAACAAAATCAAATCATATTAATTATCTCTTAAATATATCCCAACATCCCCTCAAGCTAGAGTGCACATATCATAAGCTCAAAACTTGTTAAATATACATCTAGTTAAGTCCATCAATCTACTGATTCAATTTATTTGGAAATACAAGGTATCCATGCATATATATATATATATACAGAGAGAGAGAGAGAGATAGGAATTAGGCCCAACGCAGGCATGTACATACATAGATTAAACCAAATGGACTCAGTTTATATACTATCTAATCATCCCCTCAAGCTGGAGCATATAAATTGTATACGCCAAGCTTGTCCCATAGAACTTGATATGAGGAGTCCTAAGAGATTTGGTGAGGATGTCGTCAACCAAACTAATCATTGAAACTGGAAAGAGTTGTAACTAGTATGAATACATCCAAATAGCACTTTCTCCTTGATTAAGTGAATGTGAATCCCTATATAATTTGTAGCTCATGAAATAAGGACTAGATATTATATGCATCACATCTTTATTATTTCAAAATAATTTTTCATCTCAAAGATACCAGCAAGCTTACTTCTAAGAGTAGCTACTTAATCCAAATAAGCTAGCAGGTTGCTATGGTCATATCTCAATACTCAGCTTGAAACACTAGATCCAGAAACAATGTTCTGCTTCTTACAATATAAGATATCCACCAACAAAATGCAATATCAAGATCTAAACCATCAGATGGTGTTCTAGCCTAGTCAGCATTCGCTCAATTTGAGAATGACCATGATTCATATATAATAATATGCAAACAACATCCTAATAAGTAGTACGTGAAGACTTCAGAAAATGCTTACAACACTGATGAAATAAGAAAGGTTAAAACAGTGATACTAGATAATTAAACTTATCAACCAAACTAGTCATCAATAGAAACCAATATCTGCCATAGAACCCCCTTGATATGGAAGAAGTTTAGACTTTGGACTTGATATTCATAGGAGAAACTGAGGCATATTTTTGTTTTGAGATAACAAGGCCATCACATGACAAAGCAACCTTGATGCCAAAAAAATATCTAAGAGATCCCAAATCAGCAACTTGGAGGCACTGGAATACATGTTATTTTAGCTCAAGATCACGTCTGGCAATGACAATGCCATAAATGTAGATGACAATGTGATTAACATACATGACAAGATACAAACATGCACTATCTAGTATTCTTATGAAAGACATAGTGATACAATCCATATCTGATAATTCCAACTCATATATATTAGCCGCACACCGTCCAATCTAAGGACAAGAAGACTGTTTTTAAATCATATGATGAATGACAGCTTATGTACAAGGCCAGACTCTCCCTAAGCAACAAATGTAGGTGGTTGCCCCATATAGATTTTTTCACAAAGGTCACTACAAAGGAGCATTTTTAATGTCTAATTAGTGAAGTGACCACCTCACATAACAGATAAGAGACAGAAAAACAGAGGTATGGAGGCATTTGGACCACCGGAGACAAAATGTGTTTATGCAGTCATGACCATAAATTTGAGTAGAGTCGCTAGAAACCAAACAAGCCCCAAACTAATTAAGTTTACCAAGCGGGCTAACTTTAAATACAGAAATCAAATTATAGAAAACCATAGATTTACCCTCGAGTTGACATGACTAACCCCAAGTGCAATTTGCATCCTAGGCAGTCATTTCAACCAACATCACCTATCTATACCCAGCATGGGAAAGAGCCTTAAAGCGGACTTAGGTAGACAGAAAAAACATGCCATAGACACGAGCAGAAAACACAGGAGACCAACAATTGTACTCGAGAAATTATAAAAAAGGAAGAAGTTATTATGGGTGAAACATATACCTTTCTAAATTCGAACAAGCAAGAGGATCAAGGAACGCTGAAGGAGGTGGGACGAGTCAAGAGAGTCCAGGAAAAGATCATAACCAAGGAAAAACAAGGACAGCGATGCTAAACATGAAGAGAAGAAGTAAACTAGAAAGAGGGGAGAAATAGAGAAAGAAACAGAATAGGTAGGACATCAGATATAGAAGGAGAAAAGGAAGGAGAAGAGGCAGGATAAAAATATAGGATACAACAAAAACGACACCATCAATATCAACACTGAATAGGTGAATAGCAATAGTAGCCTTTTTGAACATGTGAATATTAGAAAAACATGTATTTTAAGAGCACGAAGGACTTCGTTGTTCAACCAAAGAGAGTAATTATGGACAGAACATCAACCCAAAAACACAAGTCAACAAATACAAGGGATTATTAAAAAACAAACATTGCTGAGGAATAGAGATAAGGTCTATGACTTATAAGAAAGAGAAATTGTCTACAAAATCTAAACAATAATAATAAAATAAAATAAAAGTGGCAACTGACAAGTTATGATCAGGAGCCCAAATCTCATAAACTAAAGCAAAAGGCACATATCCAGCTATGGACATGGAGTTGCTTGGGAAACAAGATTAGAGATTGTTACCAAGCTGACATGACTCAACACTCTTAAGGACGACAATGATGACAAATGGGAATCCATAGTTTTCAACATAAGACAGCCTGGGGAAACTTAGATACATTACTGGCATTGACATTTTACAATCCAAGATTGAAAGCAAAGAAGTGAACTCCTACTATCAGTGTTAGGCTTTTCCAAAGTAGTCAATTAGGGAATGCTCTTGTTTGGACTGGAAAACAACAGATGTATCATACAAACGAATCATGTTAATTAGATAAGGAGTTTGGAATAATCCGAAGCATGTAGCCATTCTGCGCAGATTATATTCCCAGTTTATAATTTATAATACCATAAAGTATGGAATCCCAAATCCACTCAAAAATATTATTGCCAACTAGTTTATTGAGTCCACATTTGTCATAACCCATCTTCCAAAAATCTGCTCCACTTTTGTTTTCAACCACCTGGTGTTCTCTGACTAATCCAGCTTCAGCCAACACAAGCAAATAAGTCACTGCATACACTAGCAATTGGCCCAAGAAGTGGGACTATTTTGGGACTATTTATAAATGCTTCTACTCATAAATATTTAACGTGCAACATTCTACCACAGGAAACTCCCCTGAAGCACTACGATGATCTTAAAAGAGAAAAATCATACCACCAAACTCTTTGAGCAGATATTATATGAGAAAACAAAACTTAAGTATACAAACAGAATAAACTTACAGCTCCCACATGATGCTTGGCAGGTGAATATGCCACCGTTTCCTCCAGCCCTTCCCATGCTCTGCTATCAATTTCTAAAAACCTAGCAAGGAACAACAGAACAGAACAGAACTCATCCCTAAATTCAAACACTTGCAGCAACAGCAGCAGCGTACACAAATTTGGAACAATTAATTATACTTGAAGATGGGTCGAAGAAGGCCGGAGGACTGGTGGGCCCATAGCTGGGGGTCACCGGAAACAGAGTCGGAACTGCTGCTTGTGCTGACGCGCTCCTCCGACAGGCCGTCCTCGCCCTCTTCGTCTTCAGTGGGAAACCCCAAAGGGCGTGTCTGGTGGATCTGCGCCTGGTGCAGAGCCAACGCGAACAGTGCCCCGGCGGCGTACTTCTGCGCCGCCGTCAACGTCGACGTTGGTGACGACATCCTTTTATTTACTCCAGCAACTTATTCCTCTCTCAGTTCAATTCAGCATAAAAATGAGCCCACCAATTCGTTGTAAACTTTACGATGACTTCAGTGGAAAAAACACAAAAAGAACAAGAACCATCAGAGGGATCGACCATCAGGAATTGAAGTATATTATTGCGTTAGGGGGTACGGTATCACTGACGTAATTCATCCAAAACCCTGTGAATTGTGAGATTAATCAGTTCAATAAATACAGGGAAGGATTGTCTGAAGATGATCGTCGGTTTGTGTTCTTTCGCACACGGGAAGGAGCTGTTCGACGTCGCAACGCAGGATGTAATGTTTGACTTCCAAACGGGTCCAAATCCCTATTTGCCAGCAACCACAATAGATGCATTTTCCATGGCCTCACAGTCTGACACATGGCATTTTCCATCTGCTTCGAAAATATTGTTAATGCAATGGCCTAACATCCAGGTAAGAAATCGGCTAGGTGTCGGAAGGAATTTCTTGTTTTTTACTTCTTCCTCAAACATTCAAGATCCACCACTCTCAAGCGGCAATTTTTGGGGACGAATCGTGAAAAAATTAGTGCATTTTCATAAATTGTTCAAGCAGACGAAACATATTTTGTGTGAATTCCATTTTGATTTGAAATTTTATTTTTGATTTGGATTTCGTTTTTTATTATTCTCTTTGTCCTATAAAATTAAATCATTTAAATTTGAAATTAAAAAAATTGAATATTTTATTAAAACAAATGATAAAAGTAAAATAATAATTGAGGTATTTTTAAAATATAATTAAAAATTAAAAAAAATAAAAAAAAATAATGTAATAAAAGTAGTGACAATGTTATAAATAAGTGTTGAAAAGGAAATAATTAGTAATAAATAAAAATTAAAAAAATGAGAATAAATTTGACAAACAAATAGAGTATTTAATTTGAACGATGTTGATATAAATTATTACAATTTAAATTGGCGCAAAACATTGATGTTCATCATTTTTCAATTTCAATATAACTTAAGTGATGGCAAAAAATTTCCTGTTATTGTAAAATTTGGTATGCATTTTGAAAATTATCAGTATTATTTATTCTTTATTTCTTGCGATCAATACAATTTTTTATTATTTTTATAGTTTTCAAGGAAACTTTTATGTCATAGAAATATCTTTATAATCTTTTTATTTTCATAAGTACATGGTAGAATATCGGGGCCATCTCGGACTTTTTTTAGGGCCCTGAGCAAAAAAAATGATAGATCCTATGAATAATTTTTTTTTCAAAATATTATCAACGAACAATATAGTAATAAATTTTACAAAAATAAAAATTATATTAATCATATATATAATAAATGAAATATATGTGTCTCGTAAGGACGACGGACTGGCGTGGAAGTGAACTATGGAAACCTAGTTTGTGATACATATTTTAACTATTATAAAACTTTACAATATTTTGACTATTATAAAGTTAATAACTCAATAATAATAACTACAGATTTTAAAGGCGATTAATATAAAATTAGAAAAAATAAAATTGTTAGAGTTTATTAAAATTAGAATTAGATTGGGTAATTGTAAACTGATAAAATTTAAATTAAATTTTAATATATCTAATAATAATTATTAGTATTATAAATATTTACAAATTTTAAAGGCGAGAAAGATGAAATTTTAGAAAAAATTCTAGTTAGAATTTAATTTTAGAATTAAAATTAAATTAGGTAATTGTTGAAACATTTTGGGATAAAGTTTAAAATAAATTTTAATATATTTAATAATAGTTAAAATTAAAAATATAGCCTCTCTTAAAGTAGAGCCCTGAGCAATTGCCTTGCTCAGGTTGCTAAGAACCTGACCCTATAGAATGTTGGATCCACCATCTTACATGTTGTGTTCTCAAAATTTGGTTTGTTTCTACACCTTTGTCTTTATTGATAGATAAAAGAACAATCTAACAAATATGTGACATAATCTATATATATAAAAGAGATCGGTGTGGGTTCATTCCACCAAATCTTTTTTATCAATTTTTTTGATTTTTTTTTTAATATTTTGGTTTTTTTAATAAAATAAAAATGTATTAAATTCTATTAAATATATCATAATTAATAAAATTATAAGTAATACATTTTTAAATATAATAAAATAATTGATTTAGTTTTATCATTAAAGTAAATTATAATTTTGTCTATTTATATTCCTAATTAAGGGTATTGAAAATGTAATAATTTTGTAATGTAATTTTTATTATTTTTATAATTAAAATAATTATATTTGTTGAGATATTATAGATATTCAAATTTAGATTTAATAGATTTATATTTAGATTTGGTCTTATCCATAGATTATATTACGTAGATTTGAGTCTATCGAGTCGGTTTTGTATTGCCTATATATAGTCTACTAACCCGTGTTTCTCCGGGTACACTCAATCTGGGATGTACCCGGAGGTTTTCCAATTTTGAAAATTTTTCTATACTTTCTAGCCATTTTTTTTTTTTCCGATTTTGATTGTCTTAGAGTCCTAATTTTTTCTACTATTGAAGTCATCTTTGCACATGTGTCTACGATTCTGCAATCAGTCTGCTGCATTTCTCCAGAGTTATATTTCTGATTGCGATGAGAGTCATCTTGTTTTCAACTCCGATGAAGTTATTTCGTTTTTTGCTCTGGTAGAGTCATGTTGTTTTCGACTTTGGTGGAGAGTCATGTCGTTTTCGGTTCCGATAGAGTCATGTCGTTTTTTGCTCCGGTGGAATCATATCGTTTTTTGCTCCGGTGGTGTCATCTCGTTTCCGGCTCCAGTGGAGTCATGTCGTTTTCGGTCATCTCGTTTTCCACTCCAGTGGAGTCACGTCGTTTTCGGCTCCGGTGGAGTCATCTCGTTTTCGGCTCCGGTGGAGTCATCTCGTTTTCGGCTCCGGTGGAGAGTCACCGTTTTCGGTCATCTCGTTTTCGGCTTCGATGAAGAGTTATCGTCTTCGGCTCCGGTGAAGAGTCAACTGTTATTTTTATTTGCGGTTTTTTTTGTCTATATTCAACTTTCTTATAAACTCAAGTTGGTTTCTATTGTACCACTTGAGGTTGAGATGGGATGTTGAGATATTTTAGATATTCGGTTTTAGATTTAGTAGATTTATATTTGAATTTGGTCTTATCCATAGATTATATTAAGTAGATTTGGGTATATCGAGTAGGTTTTGTATTGCCTATATATAACCCCTTATTTTGATGATTAATAAGAAAATCTCATTATTTTTTCCCAAACTTTCTAACAATATTGATAATCAATAAAATTAAAACTATAGTAATTATATTTTGTAATCTTAATATATATATATATAAACGTCAATAAGTTTCATAATTCTATAGTTTTTTTTTTAATTCTTAAAAAAAATTAAAATTAATGTAGTATTTTCTTAATTTTTATTTATACCCGTAATTAATGGATAATGAATTATATTAAATATAGTTATAATTGATATAATTAATGAAATTATAATTAACAAATATATTTATTAAAAGCTAAATATTATTATCTATATATATATATAAAAGATCGATGTGAAGTCCACTCCTCCATATCTATTTTGTCAATTTTTTGATTTTTTTAATATTTTGATTTTTTCAATAAAATAAAAATGTATTAAATCCTATATCATAATTAATAAAATTATAATTAATATATTTTTATAGATAATAAAATAATTGATTTAATTTTATAATTAAAGTAAATTATAATTTTGTCTATTTATTTCTTTAAGGTATTGAAAATATAATAATTTTGGAATGTAATTTTTATTAATGACGAATTTAATGATAACCTCGTTTGAATGTCTATAAAAGACCATCTCTTCGCCCCTCATTTCAATTACACATTAATCTCTCATCCTCTCCATTTTTCTCATTTTTCAGTAATATTTTTTCAATAACGTTTCTTTCCCTTAGCCACCCAATATGGTTTTTTTTTTCCACATTTTAATCATCGAAGTTTCAAAATATTGGGGTACCACCTAATGCGAAGATGATGTGTCGCTTTAATGTATAATTTACGTATTTTATTTTGTTTTTATTTTGTACTAGGTAATACGTATATTAGTTTATATTTAATAATAAAATTAAAATAAAAAATTGATTTTTTTTTTATTTATAATAGTAATTATATATAGTGATGGTCGATTACCGATTGTTTTGCGGTATTGATTGACCAGACACGCAAGATCATCTCCTCACCCCATTTCAAATACACTTCAACTTCATTTCTTCTATATTTTTCTTATTTTTTTGAAAATATTTTACCGGTGAGTTTCTGGTCAATCTTTTAGCCCTTAACCACCGAATACAGTTTTTTTCCCTCATTTTAGTTCATTGGGTATTATACCTAATCCAAAGATCATATAATATATCAAAATATAATTTACTTACAATATTTTATTTTAGTATTGTTTTGTACTTTCTATAAATAATTTAATATAACTTTTTTTTGTATTATAAATATTTCCTTGTTATTTATTTTTCAAATAATTTCTATTTAATAATAATATTAAAATAAAATTTATTTATTTTTATTTATAATAAATATATTATATTATCATATTTTCATATTTAAATTAAAATTTTTTGATTTATTTTAAATAAAAAATATTGATGATTTAATGAAATTTTTAGAATTTTATTAAAAATAATTTGTGTATATACAAGTTTTCAGTAAATCTATGCTATTTTATTATTTTTAATATTTTTATTAAAATAAATTTATATTAAATATCCATAATTAATATACCATAATTAACATACTTAACAAAACTATAACTAACATAATCAATAAATAATTTATATATATAAGTTGATAAAATTATTAAAAATATGATACTATAATGTATATATAGAATACTTATTATTCATTTTAAAATTAAATAATTAATTTAAATTTAAATTTAAAAAGTAAATTCGTTATTATACATTTCTTATCCTATATCCTATCATATATATATAATTATATATATAACTATAGCAAAGGGTGTGGCCTCCAACTTTTTAATTCCTTCAACTTTTTTTTGGGGGGTTTTTAATTTTTTAATAGAATTTTTTCAAAACATATATAGATATAATTTTTAGGTACTCAATTACAGTTTTTTTTTTTTTAAAAAATAATGAAATAATAGAGTAGTTTCTTAATTGAATTTTTTAATTCAGTTTGTGTATCATACTTTGCAAAAATATACATATTTTTTCAACAATTGAGCAAAATCAAAATAATCAAAATATGGCGATTAGTCTCAGGCGTTGGATTTAAAAAATGTGTGTTGAAAATCTGATAGTTATATATATATATAAGATATGATAGGATATAGAATTACATAACTACTGATTACATAAATTCTAATTTTTTATTCTTAAGAGAAAATTATAAATGTGCTCTGTTAATAAAAATTTAACGAAGGCATACAAAAGAAAATTATAAAAACATTTGATGTATAAAACAATAAAATATCAAAAAGGCCGCGCAAGTGTTTCCCACTAGTTTAATATATAATTGCTTGAATAATTGACGTTTCGAAGATGAATTGAAGTAAATGCTTCAATAGTAGCTGTGCTATACAAAGTATACCCATCAATCCCAACTCTTTTCTATATCAATATACCATTAATAATGCAAGATGTAATGAACTGGATGAGCCCCAAACAAGCACACATACAAGAAATGAATAGGATGTAATGAACTGGATGAGCCCCAAACAAGCAAATATACAAGAAATGAAACAACCAAACAAGAAGAAATTTTTATACTGTAAGCTTTAAGTTACAATACCATTTGTTAAAGCTTTGTTACATATGGCCACATACGACTAAGTTTATCAAATATATCATCAATAAAAAAGTGGGCCTTTCTCGAAGAGGCAACAACAATCTAACTAGAGAGTCATCCAAGAAATTGATCGATCCAAGAAGCTTTAGCATAATTTGTAAAACACAATCTTACTCCAAAGAAGGCATTGTGTGGCCTACGAGTGGCCATCAATCTCATTCCTTAATGTTTAGAGAGCTGGGGATAACGATTTGAATCCTTGCAAGATTGTAGTACAATTTGCTAATAAATTTATAAGAATTCCAAAAGGAGTTATACTTGATGCATTGATTTATTTTTCCCACAAATTTTATAATAATGAAAATAAGCAAAAACCAAGAGATTCCGATTATCCTCGCCAAACAACCCCTTAAATGAAAAGCATAATATGTCGCATGCCAATATAAATATAAAATCCGCAAGCAAGCTCAGACATTTACAATAATGAATGATTACATAGAGCTTACGAGCGAAACCTGAGCCTGTTGGCACTCAGACAGCCATGTATCGATATGCTGTACCATCTGCTGCCTTACTTTATTAACTGCATCCGGGAATGTGCAGTTCTCAGCATTACCTGAAACAATATACCCATGGATGGATGGTTGGATGGCCTACTCTACTTTACAATAGTGGTGGATGATTTTTTTCATATAAATACATACCTTGTAGAACCAAGGGAGACTGGGGGCATCCGCGCATGTCAGTTCCATGGCCACAGTTGTGGCAGCTGACGAGGTATGACGGCACTGAAAATTCAAGAAACACACAGATGGATGGATGTATCTGATGATACCATTATTGAAAGAATATATTATGGATCATTACAACGTTCACCCATATCAACCAAGCTTAGGCATATATAAATAAGTGCTGCGCATAAATGTTTGGACTCACTTTCAGGTGAAGAAGTCTGTTTCGATGCATGTCGCCATGGGTCCTGCGATCCATTCGTGAATACTATTTTTGAACCTGCCCAATTATTTCAACAAAGAAAACAAGTCATCGTGGGATATTCCATGCCACAAATATGATTAAAAATACTTAGGCATACTGAAAAAACACACAAGGGTATATATATATATATATATATAACTCGAAGTTTATGCATCAATTTAACAAACAGAATAGTGAATCAAGCAATAAAATTTAAACCAGGCATTGTGTGCATTTATATTAAGATACAAATGATGATGGAGATGTACAATTTTACCTGAAAAATACAGGTCATTTTATTCTTGTGCGTGTGTGTGACAATTAAACTAACTTTGATATCTTTAGTAACTTAATGTAAGGGCCATGTTATACCATGTAGCTTATCGACATAATGATTTATAAACAATTCAAAGGGTGAGACCATAACAGATACTTAGAATGTGAAATTCAAATTCACAGCCAAATAGAAAGAGGAGCATCTGAATGATATATATACCAGCAATTTCTCTGCCACCATAGTATAAATTGGTTCCAGAAACATCAGGAGAGAGCTCCTTTCCAAAGACATTTTTGCAGAGGTCCAAATGGTATCTGCCATTGACCAGTACACAAATTAATTTATCAATTTGTGCTGTTAGTCTCACCAACTCCAAACATAAGATGAAAATGAAAGTCAGAAAAAGGGTGAAAACTGAGAAATGACCAGATGTATCAATCTATGTATTTATCCACATATATATATATACAGAGAGAGGGTGAGAGAGAGGAAAGAGACTTAGTATCAATTTTTGATGAGCGGATACTATCATTTGATGGTGCAACTTGAAAATATGCAACTTCAGTGCAGACTTGAAACCACCACAGGCGGTCAGAGGAGCCATTAGTTAATTCAGTCTTTTTCAAATGCTCTTGGTCATAGGTTTCCACATCGGCGTAATTCTCTTTTATATAAGCAGCATATGTCACCTGATTTTGAGAATGTCAGCATACGAAAAATAGAGGGAAAATTATGCATACAGAAGGTAAAAATAACATACTATAAGTATTAAGCATTTCTAAAATTGTCCATACAATGTCAATTGAAAGGTTCTGTTTAGATATGTTTTGGAGTTTTGGAGAATTTTGGGAATAGTAAAAAATTAATAAAAAATAGGCATTCGATAATGTTGAGTGTAATATTTTGCATAAAAAATATGTTTTGAAGTAATATTTAAATAATTATTAGGTAGTTGATGTGATTTTATTTTTTTTATATATAAAACATATTGTTGAAAATAGTATTAAATGTGATTGAAAACATATAAATAGAACCCTAGGTTATTCTGAAGTTTTAGGGTGGAAATTTTACCTCTATTGATTGAATGAACCAGAAATTTCTTTCTAATTCATTAAGCTTAGTATTGAACAATAGTGCGACATAACAGTCAGCTAAAGTGAGGAAATCTAAGTAGTGAGGAAAGGGAAATTTACACAAGCTTGTGACCTTAAATGGTGCTAAGGCTCCGCTCACACAAGGAAATTGCATGCATTACAAGAAAGCCAAAAAAGCTTATCATATAATACAGAACGCCATATGAGATTTGCTGTTAACATGATAAATATAGGCCAGCACCACCCCTAAGTTCACATGGATGATGGATGCAAGCCTGGATTCATCTACATGGATAACGACAAGAACCTCTCGAAAATATCACACAAAAGTGCCAAACAGAGAGATGGTTATCTCTAATATAGGCAATCATGCCATGGCCAATAGCAATTTGTCTATCCACACACAGACTAGATAACAAAATCAGTTAAACACTGATCTCTACATTTAATATATGGCTATGATTAAGAAAAGTTAAGTCCAAAGCTTGTTAAAAAGAAAAAAATATATGGCTAGGATCTAAACCAGACACATACATGCATATTATATGAGATTTTCTGGTTTGTGCACTCGTGCACCATTGCACAAGTGCTTAAGCCATGAATGAGCCAGCAAGAATGCACGTGACAAAGTATTCGGCATGCACATATTCACTTATGTGAACATTGCTTGCAACCATAAATGGCATAATGCAATTCAAATAGACAACTAGAGGGTACCAAATCTTATTCCCATTAAAAGGGACCATACAATCATTTATAAACTGTCACAGGTTTTTCGCTGCAGTTATTTATTTTTTTACCCCCAAGCCATGTCAGATTACAATATGATGAAATACAGCTTTTCATGACTTGCATATCAAGTTAGAAAAAATGGGGAAAAACATATTATATTTTCTTATAAAATGCTTACCACCAAATCTTTTCCTGCTTTCTTTGCCTCAATAAGAGGGTTGCACAATCTATCCGGATTTCCATATTGAAACTGAAAAGTGACAAAGCATGCAGTAAGTGATCTAATAAACTAAAATTCCGTCTATAAAAAGGGTTTTATAAGGACATACTGCTGTAACTGCAGCATCAGCTAGATAATACAGGAAATCACCATCATTTTTTAGCTGCAAGCAAGAGAATCATAATAAAGTCCAGCATATGATGTCAGTTCCCACGCAAAAGGAAATACACGGAAAATAACTGATGTAACAAAACCTCACATTTAGAATAAGAGCAGTTTAAATTTTATATACATTACTAATCAACAAGCTGGTGAATATGACAAATCTTACAAAACTCTCTTCAGGAAAAATGAAATGTAGCCATGCATATAATTGAAATATTTTTTTGTATAGCTGGTTGAGACCAAAAACTGTATGTAGCATGAAGAATGAAACAACGTAGACATCAATTATTTCTACATCTCATATTGTACTTACCTGAGATGCACCAAATAATTTCTTCAAAGCTTTCTCATCAGATACAAGTCTCTGGTCAACAAGATGAGTAATTTCTTGGAGAGCAGCTTTACATTCTGGACCAGCGGATTCACCTATCTGCTCAGGAACTCAAGCTAAGATACTTAGACTAACAGAAATCACAAAAATCGAGAACACACAAGAAAGATTTGCGACAGTTCCATGGAAAAAAAAAGCTTAATAACTTAATAATTAATACATATACAAAACATAAAGGGAAAACCATCAATAAGTTATTTGCATTCCCAAATTACTTAACAAGAGATTAAATTTGATATGACCTTAATTAATACATTATTTATTACAGTACTGACCAACATAATGTTGACCTTTTCAGAAAATTAAAATATCCAGAAGGTTTATAGTTATGAATATTCTTCTTTGAATATTTTCTATGTTTTCTTTTTTTTTTTTTTTTTCTCCTATGTATTCTAAATACTTAGTTTTGCATTCTTGGTTCTTGCTTTACACATTTTATCTTTTGCTAGAAGATGAACAGTTAAGTCACCTGCTTATCAAATTCTGTGAAGTTGTAAATAGCTTGTACAACTCCAGAACTTGCCAGACTACCACAAGTAAGGTGCGGAAACTTTAGACGGAACCATGCACTAAGAGCTCCTGCATATGAAATACCGAAGAAAAACCAAGGATTCTCAACATTTGATCTGTTGAACTTCTCATTTAAGGAATCCTGTGTAAAAGAAACAGACATAAAATATAAATTCATGAAGCTCTTGCACAATATACAAAAATAGTTAATAGAATGTTAACACAGCAACAGTTTGTAGGAGAATTAAATGAAAAATATAAATAAAAGAAATTTATAAAGGAAGATGCCAACTTTGACCTTTTCCCAAAAACCCTAGCATCAAGATTTAATTTTCACATTGACAGTCATATAATTCAAAGACAGAGAGTAGAACTAAAAATACAGTAGTAGCATCATTTAGTATTGATTGGAAGTAGTAGTATGCAACAGTTTCATCAGTCTTATGCTTATGGTTCCAGGTAAAAGTTTTAATTCAAATAAGCTGTGACATGCCTGATAATGCTCTCTGAAAACAGCCAAATCAAAAAGTGCTTGTTTGGATGAAAGATATCTCAGATTCTCTGTAGCCAATGATTTAAAAGGAGAACTCTTTCCATAGTAACGATGCTCGAGTGTAACCACTGCTGCTCCAAACTTCTTGGCTAAAACCTGTCAACTTTCAGGCTTTAGAAATATTTTAACAATTAAGACATGTATACCATGGCAGCATATATCAATACTATTACACTCAATTCTCTTTTTTACTTTCACCTGTTCCATTAATCTGTAAGCATGTACTTTATTTAATAAAGGGGATTGGAAAGTTGTTGGCCCACCAACAATGCAGAAAATAGAAGCCTATTATACTTGACCATAAGAAATCTTCATAGACACACTCCTGCAGGTTCCCATCATAAATTATTATACTTCAATCTTATTTGACTAATTAATAGACGAAAAAAAAAAAGGTGATCCCCCAAATGATTCCCAGCATAAGTTACATAACATGTTGAAGACCATGTATGTGTAACACATGCACATGCATACCATGGTCATAAGCGTATTCCTTTAAATCTTGATCAGCTAGGATCAGTTCTCTCTCATTGAGTCTTGCCACAAGTTACATTATATTTTAATTACAAACTATGCATGCACAAACAAATGCATGCTAAGGTTATAAACATACACTTCTTCAAAGTCCATTTAGGTTCTATTGACATAAAAATGACGTCTCTTTCCTCCATTTACTTTCTTACTTAGTCTCCACAAACCACAAATAGCACAATATACATCAAGCTTTTCTAGCAGTCTATAAATTGATAACTTACACTAATATAGTCATTTGGAATCCCACTGCAAGCAGATTCTCCACATATCTTAAGAAATACAGGTCCATCAGGAGCACGAAAATCATCAAGATATTCATAATACCGCTGCTGAAATTGCCTTTGGTCCTGGAACAAAAGAAACACATTATGCAGATTATATGGAATGAAGTTTTAAGAAAAAACATTAAATGATAAAGAATATACTTAGTTGTGCTTCAATATTTATCACATTAAATCGAGATTCATTAAAGACTCTTTCATAATGTATAATCCAGCAGATACAACTACCAGAAAACACCAAAATGCACAGTTTCCCATCAATCTCAAGGAAAGAAATTATATACCAGACCTGAATTTACATAATATTACATCTTTCAGGTTAATTTAATCCTTACTATAGTTGAAAATGAATCGAGCAACTTGAACTTGGAAAGTTCCGAACTCAAGCTCTAGTTAACCACAGTAGCTTTACTTGCCAAGAAACTGGGTAAGAATTGAATGTTGGAAATGCTTGTTAAGAATAAAGTATCAAGTAGGTAAACATTAATGAATTTTTACAGTCTAAAATTAAAATATATCAAAGTCTTCATAATCTAATTAATAAATATACATTCTGAAATAAATAAACTAAATATGTGACAAACAAAACTATTCAGCCTAATGTTATCACATAACTTCACATACTCGCTATTTGTACTCATTAGTGAGTGTTATGTCACGTGAGTTACTCGCCAGTCAACAAATTTTTCTCAGGCAAGTTCCTCTTCAGGCAAGCCTCAGATTAGCCGGTTCGAAGATATTCAGTTTAGAGATTAAGGCAAGTCTAGTGTCGCATTGCCGCTCGTTCGCTCCGTTGTTGAGGCGAGCTAGTTTCCATCCAAACCGAGGGAGTTCCTTGTAGCAAACTCCTACTGTGTAGAGCCAGACTAATCCATTTGCATTCCAACGAGCTTTAGACGGCAACTCTAATCACTCTTACTTGCTACAGATGATGAGGATTCAGCCACTTCTATGCAGATTCAAACACTTCTACTAGATCCCAATACAAGGAAAATGATTATTTATTATCATCTCAGTAAAGATTCATTCCTATCCATATCTTTTTATATCCCTATTCCTACACCTGAAAGTATCCTCTATTCCCGTGGCTTTTTCCAAGTGGCATAAATCATTGTGTCATTTTATTTTTCTTACATCAAATTGCATTCTTCATCAGTTCTTGAACATATTTCATACCAACGCATCAAATTCAGCATATTCAATAATTCTAATTCCAACAGCTCTACAAAATTGTTCTATTACAAAAACTAGGAGAGTTGTGTGTTTAGTAATGTTTTGGATGTTTTTTCATTTTTTTATATTAGATTTTTTTTTTTTTACTTTTTTTACAGAAAAATAGGTGTCAAAACTTGGATGTGAAATTTTGCCTGTGAAAAATAAAAATATATTTTGACTTGGATTAAATAGAGCGAAAATGGGGGAATGGGGATGAAAATACAAGTGGACACGCCCTTAACAATGGTAAAGACTCATTGAATCGCAAAATTCAAAATTGGTTAACTGTTCAATCGAGTAAATGTAAATTCAAAATTCGAATGCCACAAAAAGTATTGCCAATTCCCAACTCTCAACACAAGCACCGTGCTTCCAAAAACAACACGGATATCTGTAACAGTTTAACAATATTGGACTCACATAAGGAGAGAAGTGATCGAGTGTCTGATTGATCCAGTGCTCCTCTGTGGTCAAATAATTCCCGCTACCGGACTCCAGCTGCCGCAGTAACCGCGGGACCGATGCATCAATCAATTCAACCATTACTAACAGGTAAAATACGATTAATACCAACTTCGTCATAGGTGCGGGGAACTCCATAAGTTCGCTGTAGAGGTTTCGTAGGAGCGAACAGCGAGCCTCCTATCCTATGGTTCTACGGTTTCGTTATTCATCCCGAGTCTTCTCAGTAAATAAGGAAAGTCCGCGAACCAGTGACGCTGTTACGTCACTTTTCAATTATTTTCACCGTATCATTTACATTTGTCCACGGAAATATACATTATCAGACATATGTTTCCTAATTTATTACTCCTTTCCCTTCCGGATATCATATCACGCTTTTTGTCCGTCCCATGTTATTTTTACATACTTTAATTTTATTTTAAATTTTTAAATTTTATTTTTTTTAATAGACACAGTATCCGGGACAGATGGAGTATTTTTTAATGTTATATTTATTTACATATTTTATATACTACTATAAACAAGATTCGGATGTCTTTGGTTTGTGAGTATGAAATTTTTAATAAGTAAAAAAGTTTAAATTTTAATAATTATTTGATGAAATATAAAAATATATATTTATATAATATTTTAAATATAAAATAATTTTTTAATATAATATAAAAATAAAAAGTAATTATTTAATTTGATATTTTTTAAAAAATAAATAAATAATAAAAAATTATGAAAAAATCCAAAAAAGAGATAAATATGGGGTCGGATAGTAAAGATAAAGTATTTGTTAGGATTATTAAACACAATCAAAACACACACAAGCACACAAGAGAAGACGCATCTTATCCAAACCTTAAAGTTTATCATTTCATTCCAAATAATTTATTTATAAGTTAAGGAGTATTATACAATTATGTCTTAACTTCTATTGTCTTTTATCAATGTCAGCATAATTTATGTTAATTTAAGTTTCCAGCATGTGCTATCCAATTTTCTAAAGATTTTAAATAAAAATTCATCAAATCAGCAGTTTAGACTCGAAGCCATGCAACGGCTCCAACGCCGAAGCCATTTTCTAATCCAACGACGGACATGCTCTTTGGAGTGCTATCGGGAATCACATCGTTTGATCTTTAAGCGCATCATATTCAAAAAGGCTCGGAGTCCCTTTCGAAAAATCTGAATTGGATCCCTACGAAAAAAAAATGGTTCCAACAATTGGCACGCCCAGTGAGACCAAAGTCGGATATTACGAGTGGCGATTTCAAGGCTTACATGGGATTCATTTGTACTGCTTAAAGAAAACTACGAATTTGGCGCAGAACATCCTATCCTTCGGACCTCTTGGCCGGGGCAAGCAAGACCATGCTGGAGCCTGCAGGCTACTGGAGTTGTAGCCTACAGGCCGCTGGAGGCTTGGAGAGCTGTATAACGACCAAATGAGCCTATAAAATAAATTAAACTCTGATTTCCCCTTGAAAATTCAAAGAAACCATTCGTACTTATAACTCAAGTTGTATACGAGATCGATCTTCCAAAGAACAAGGTATTTTTCAAATAAGTCAATTCATTTGCCGAGCCTCTACTAGGAGCAAGTGAATTTTCAACATTTAGCACGATTCCGCCGGGACAATTCAGCGGACAATCTATGTGGAATGCGCTGACACTGCCATGAGGAAATTCCAGTTCATATATGGCTAATCCTTAATGGATGAGGACCATCCAAACGTGGGGACAAGGAGGGCAAGCCACATAGATGCAACTCTTAACCTTCCATCAGCAGGCAACTGCGAGTGCAGCCACTAACCCTAAATTAGCATGAGGCCAAACCATAGATGTTGATGTCCTTGCATATTGCATCAGGAGGACATTTTCACAAAACAAAAGGTTTAAAATAAACCTAGTACTACTTTGTGCGCAAAAAATTCAACTTCATACTAAAAGAAATTGCCAGGTAAGGCTCCAGAAGCCATGGAAACTCCAAACAACAAGGAGTCTACAGGTTACACTCCAGAGGCTATGGCGGCTCTAAACAAAAAGAAGTTTGCAGGAAGAGACCTTGGCAGCTTCAAACCAAGAGGCTTCCGAGGAAGCAGAGCCTCCGCCAACTAATGCAGCTCAGACAAAGAGGGACAAAGGCCCTAGCAGACTAAGATTTTCTTTTTTTTTTGTAAATTTAGTATTACAAAAACAAAAAAAATTATTTACATAATATATAAAAAATTAAAAAATTCTGTTTTTTCAATAACAAAAATAATAATTTTAATTTGCCCTATAAGAATACAATATATAATACTAATAGTTTGCAAAAAATATATATTGCAATTCATAAAAAAATAAAAAATAAAAAATCATTATTTAGAATAGCAGGTCCGCAGACTCTAAATGAAAGCGAGATCACTGCATAATGACATAAAAAAATAAAAATAAAAATAAATTTACATCAATCTATTGTCATTGAACTGATTATTCTCACAAAGCAATATTGAAAAATTCAACAAAATGTTTAGAAATTAATAACAGAGCTTTTATGGTTCACACGTACACAAGAAATGCGAAATCGCTCAAAGTTTCTGGAACCACTAAAGTTGTTTACAGAAGCTCATCAAATTAGTATTATATCACAAATTTCTTCTCTCTATATAAAAATTAGGCAAAGCATCAAGAAATTATGTTAGAACAAGAAGAAAAAAAATTATTTTACTTACCAATGCAACAAAAGACTCTCAAAGAGAGAAAAATCAAATAAATCAGCAAATATTTTAAGGGTGTGTTTGTCTGCGGGTTTGAATTTTGAGTTGGGATTTGAATAGTAAAAATTTTAAATTTGAATAGTTGTACGATGTGATATAAATAGGTGTTGATGTGATGTTTTGAATATAAAATTGATTTTTAGTATAATATAAAAAATGAAAAATAGGTGTTTGATTTGATATTTTTGGGGAGAAAAAATTGGATGAATAGTAAGATTTTGCACAAATCTTACAAACGAACACACCCTAAGAAAATTTAAGAAAATAAATCAGCAAATTAGCATTTCTATTTATGAAATCAAAATTTAAAGTTTCAACACTTCAACACAGATGACATATAATGATAGTGAATAATTATAATTTTTTTCTTAAGTATTGTTAAACACATGTTATCATGTCATTAGCAATAGCAAACATGAGACATATCCAATCATTTCTGCTTATAAGCTGTAACAAAGTCCTTTATGTCCGGATGGATATCTTTAAGAAAGTTACTGATATCAAAGTTGTAAAATAAAAACAATCACCTCCAAACCTATTTAAATATTAAAAAAATATGGGTAAACTATTTTTTTAGTCTCGTAACTGGACCTCCTTATTATTTTAGTCCCATAAGTAGAGTCTGTCGCAAACTAGTCCCATAAGTGAAAATTTTTTGCTGTTTTAGTCCTCCGGCGCCGGAGACGCTCGCGTGGCTCGCCGGAGGTGACGTGTCCGCCAGGTCCTGGCGCTGACCTGGCGGACACGTGGATTTTTATTTATTTTTTATTTTTTAAATTTTTTTTTTAAAACTTATTTTAAATTTATTTATATATTTTTAATTTTTTAATTTGATTTTATTTTTAAAAAAATTAAAAAAAATAAATCCACGTGTCTGCCAGGTGTCGGTGACATGGCGGGACACCTGGCGGACACGTCACCTCCGGCAAGCCACGCGGGCGTCTCCGGCGCCGGAGGACTAAAACAACGAAAATTTTTCACTTATGGGACTAGTTTGCGACAGGCTCCACTTACGGGACTAAAATGATAAAGGGGTCCAGTTACGGGACTAAAAAAAACAGTTTACCCAAAAAATATATATATGTGCATGCCAAAATTATTGTTTTTCAGATATAAAGAAAAATTTTCAATTAATTCAACTTAAAGATCTTAACCGAAAAAGACAACATATAATAAAACACATAATCTATCGTAAAAATCATAGACAAAGATATATCAAATATTTTCAATTTTATGAAACAACTTATAAACACCAAAAGGAACTAAGAAAACACAGCTGGAATCCTAAAAAAATACATCCTGCAATAACAATATCATACTAAAAAATTTATATGTTCAAATAATAAATTTGTATAAAAAAATTCAAAAAATATTATAAATTTAAAATATAATGCATTCACTTTCAAATGCGAGAAATATTTTTATTGAAAAAAGATATTGTGATGAATAATATAAAGAAAATATACTTAATAATAAAATTAACTTTTTTTTTCCAGTTGTATTTATATCGAAGTCAATCTCCTCCGTAAATGAGTGTCTCGATAGATTCTTCATTCAACCTTGAACGATATTCATCTATAATTCTACATCCAACACCTTTTTAGATAGTTTTTAGTTTATTGAACAGCTTTTAGTCAAACAACTAATTTAGGTGTTTGGTGAATTAGCTTTTTGGACTAAAAAAACTAATTTCTGAAAAGGTAATTTACTCAACGTTTTACAATAGCTTTTTCACTTTAAATATTTTTATTCTTTATTTGCCTTTGAAAATTTATTATGCATTTTTACGCAAATAAATATATTTTGATTATTTATTAATTATATTAGAATATGTTATTATATTATAGTTTTACTTTTATAAATTTAAAATAATTAATTTTAATATATAAATTATTTTAATGATAAAATATATAAATTTAATAAAATCAACACAATATAGAAAATATAAATACTATTAATAATTTATTTTTGTATTAAAATTACATTATATAAATTTTATACTAAAAATAAATAAATTAAATTAAATTTATTGAAAATTATAAATATAATGAACTAATCGATAATTAACATAATAAATATATACACAAAAAATTATTATTTTATATTTTACATTATTTTTAATAGAAAAAATTGTTTATATTTTTCAATAAAAATATATTATTTTTTCAATCTAACTATAATAAAAATAAATATTATTTTATAACACTTTTACAATTTTCAATAACTAATAACAAAAAATTTCAAACATTCTAAACTCAAAAGAATACAATTGAATATATTAGAAAAAAATAAAATATAAATATCCTCAATTGTCATTTTACGTATAAACTGCTAATATCAAACAGTTGTTTTACCAAACATTTTAATACAAATAGCTAATCGAATCAGTTAGTCAAACTAGCTTATTGAATCAGCTAACAACTATCAGCTAATTGTCAAAACGCCCTAAATGTAGACTCTGAAGCTCCCGTTGATATTGGAATCGCAAGTACGGCAACAACCATCTTT